GCTGCTCCTCTGATGGACACAGGTACCTCACCCTAACAACACCCCCCCCCCCCCCCCCCCCCCCCACGCAAAATTCTCCGCCATTCCTCCGGCGACTGAGGGCTGGGCTTTTCCTCCACTCGCGAGGTTCTCCCCTTCTTGCGCTGGGTTCGGGGAGGACCAGCGGTTCGCCCCCCTATCTCCGCCGATTGCTTGGGACAGCCGGGTGGAGAGTGAGGAGGAGGTGGGCAGCGGGGTGCAGTGGCTATGCAGAGAGGGATGGAGAAGCTGGGCAGCTGAGGACCCAGGCTTGATAGCCAAACGGGTTCCCCAAAATGGATTCCTCCTCCCCTCCTTTTCTCTATCTTTCTGGGCAGTCTTATCTGCCTCACTGGCCAAAAACCCGAACAAGATAATCATCCTCCCACTGGTTTCAGTATGGTCTCGGAATTCTGTCATGTTTGGCTGTCAGGTGTGTTTGAACCCACGTGCAGGAGGATGGCAAGGACTCTTGAGGAATAGTAAAAATATTTATTCTCACAAAACAAAATCAAACTCTGACAGGGCAGCTACTCACAGACTGATTGGACGGACGGAATGGAAGGCTGAACACAACACCATAAGAGGACAATTCCGAGACAAAGACAAGACACCAGTGAACTGAATATATACACACACTGATTAGGACAATGACAGACACCTGCGGTGATTAACATTAGACACAAGTGAGACAGGGACTGAACACAAGGAGTGAAAACACAGAGAGCTAAATCAAGAAACATGAGGAAACAGACAGAGACAGGACAAAAGCCCAGAAACTCTACACATTCTGACTGAAAATATTGAACACTACCATTTTCAGCTGCTAGATGGTAGTCAAGCAGTGTGGCATGCCATTGTATCATGTAATAGGTAAAAGTGGCTATTAATGACACAATCGGCTTGCCAAATAAGCCACCGTCGTCTGCCAACTGTCAAATCGGCTTCATTGCACTGCGCCGCCCCCGCAAAATGCAGCTAATTTGACCACTGAAGTGAATTTATTAAGTAAAAGTTCAACTGAGACACACATTTACTATAAAGTCGAGCTAACAAATAATTGTTTTAGGTGGTTATCTTGTTAAATTTCAAAGAAATACACAGCAAGTCGCCCTCTGCGCATTCATGTTTCCGCATATCGGCTTTTGAAATGCAGCTGATTTGACCCTCAAAGTGCATTTATTAAGGAAAAGTTGGACTGAGGCACACCTTTGCTATAATTTCGAGCAAACAAATTATTGTTTTTAGTGTTAATCTTGTTAAATTCTTGTTAAAGTCCTCCTGTGCATGCTCCCGCGGCTGCCATTTGGCAGCCAATCTATTTTTGGCACAACACCGGCCCACATTTCCGTGTTTGGCCCACATTTCTGGGTTGTCAGCGGTGATGAGTAACAAATGTGACGCGTCAGTGGTGACTCATAATAAATGTGACGTATATGGCGAAGCAATGTATTTATTAGGGGTGTAACGGTACGATAAAATCACATTTAGGTTCGGTTCAGTTTCAAGGAGGGCTTGGTTCGGGAAATTTTTGATTCAATAAAGGCCAAAATAAAGACTTACACAATGTTTATTTTGAAAATATGCCCAGTAAACATTACGTTTGTATAAAAATAAATAAAAGCGACCCATTTGGATGATATTTTAAATAAACAGCACTCTTTACAATAAGTAAACTATACTAACAATACAAAAAATCTTAATAACCATACCATACCATTTTATTTATAGAGCACTTAAAACAACTAAAAGGCCAACCAAAGTGCTGTACAGACAGAACAACAGACAGCACACGAAGCAATATACAAAATGAAGTAAATCAAAAATATAGACATAAAAACGATGCAGATAATAAATATGACGATAAACCAGTGTGGAGCGTACAAGTTCACAACACAGATCCTCTGGTGTTGAAAGCGAAAGAATAGTAGTGGGTTTTTAAACGGGATTTGAAAACCGAGAGGGAGGAGGCCAGTCTGACGAGCAGAGGTAACTCGTTCCAAAGTCTTGGTCCTGCTACAGAGAATACCTCTGCGCTTAAGACGAGTTCCTGGAACTGTGAGGAGCAATTGGTCCGTTGACCTCAGGGAATGTGGTGGGACATACGGTTGTAGCAGATCAGAGAGGGGG